GAAGGAGGAGAGGAAGACCAAAGAATACATTACGCCGGGAAATGGAGATAGATATGAGAAAAATGAACAAGAATTGGATGGAACTAGAAGAGAAGGCCCAGGACAGAGTGGGTTGGAGAATGCTGGTCGGCGGCCTATGCTCCATTAGGAGTAACAGGCGTAAGTAAGTAAGTACTCTTATTTATGTTTTGGATAACTTTAATCAGTTTAACTAACATCTCTTATGTGATATGATACATACCTAATAGTTTGTTAAGAGAATAATTCTATTCAATACATATGCTAACTGAGGCTAATAAACATTTCCCAGTTATATTAGTTTCATTCCTTTAACATACATGGGAATCATCAGAAGTCAAGTTCTTAGACTGTTCATCTGGTTCAATTTAATATTAACCATAAACTTCTTGGAATTCAGTTCATTGAAGAAAATTATCTTGTCATTTAATCGTATAGTAAGAGAGGATGTAAATGTTCCGTTTTTATTAAGATAAAAAAAATTGACGTTCGATCTGGTTTTCGAGTATTCTCTCAATCTTTATAGGTCATGAACTGCATGAAGTCATTTGTTTTTTTAAAGTACATTTATTATCTCGAAAATAGATTCCACGAGTTGATCTAAGCTAGATCACCATTGGAAACTATGAAGCATTAGATAGCAAGCTTATCTTAGTATGGACTCATCAGCAGTGCACATCCATAATCCCACACCATCAACTTTGGTCTCATGAGTGAACGCCTAACATCTAGACCACTGAACTGGCATCGAACGGTATAAATGTCTAACTTCAATAGATCGATGATCTTTGACAACTCTTCATTCATTATCTGACGTGGATAACTGTCCCACAGTCGATACGGATTGGACTCCATTGATCACAGATTCTCATCAGAATTTCAGAAAATCCATCTTGAAGTTTGTCACTAGTGAGCATATGATTATCATCGGTATGGGGATTTGTGGAAACATCCTCTTTTAACCAGAAAACAGTATTACTTCAAAAAAAAAATGATAGTTTCATTTAAACTCAAGCTTAATACGAATTAGTTAAATGTACTTTTCTATGGGAAATTCATAAGCAATAACTTTAGATAATGTGAATGATCGACTACTAAGTAATAACTGATGTTATATTTGTTTTGATACTTAATACTAATCAACTGTTATCAATTCAGTTACGATGTGACTACTAGTCTAAATAACTTGTTATTGTTTACACAATATTGAAATTTCATATGCCTTTCAAACTAACTTAACTCGACTTCACATTTTGTGATGTTACCATTAAGCTATTCTACCAGCAACTGATCTCCTGTAAAACTGAGATACAAACAGACAATTGAATATATAGTAGTAATGCTATATTTGTCTACTTCTTTGGTTCGATTAGATACCCATAAATTTCATGTAAATTTTCAAATTATCATTTACACTGATCTAATATTACTATGGAAAACATCTAACGTTTAATTTATCCTTCAGAAGTGTATGTAGATGGTTAAAAACAATATACAATAGACTAATGTAATGATTATACCAAAGAGAGAATATTATATCAAAATAGATTCATTCATTTTATATGATATGAAGATAGTTATTCAAGAAAATTTTTATTTGTAAAAAGTGAGGGAGATACATAAATTCTGCCCCCCACCCTCCGCAAAAAAAAAAAATTTGTAACATCTCTTAATGAATAACACAGATTCTTTGGTGTAGGGTAATGCTACTCATCTACAGTTTGGAAGAAAAAGTTTTCAGTATGTGCAATGTAGTAAGATTTCATTTTACCTCTTAAATCATTCATAAACAAAACAGTTTGAAGTGAATCACTGTAGACTTGTAATACATTATCCTATTAATGATATTATATATAATTATGTTATGGGAACAATAATTTTATCTATGAAATGCTTTTATAATTAAGCTATTTCTCATTGACTTATCCAAAGAAAAGATATACAGTTTGACAGAAATCTATGCCTATTATGATAAAATAAATAGATACATGTTACGTAACAGCATTAAATAACACACACTACATGAATACTTTGATGTGTCCATGCCATTACAATAAGAAAGAATAAACATGCTTTGTGGTATTAAATATTGAAAGCCTAATTGAGGAAGTTTTCATTTTCAAATTTGAGATAAACATTTTTGATATTCGAAAAAAAATATATTTGTAAGGAAAGATGGATGGTAGCTGGCAGTGGAACCCAGGAAGAGCTTTTTGTCCTATTTAGGACTCATCAGCTGAATGTACCTGCATCTCAGAGTTGATGTTCAGATCGAAACTCGAACTCAATACCGTTTGCTTGAAACGCCATAACGTTATCCAATTAGCTACTTAGTCGTTTGAAACGAACGTTATTGAGTTCGAGTCTCAGAGGGAACACTAACTCTAGGATGCAGGTAAATCTAGCTGACGAGTTCAAAATAGAACGAAACGTAACTGCTGGATTCTACTGCTAGCCACTATTGATCTTGACTAATAAAGTTTATGACTCAAGACAATATCAAGGCAGTCCTCACATGATGTACATATACAACATACATAAACAACGATGTAAAGATACAAGCAAACAACACCGAATGAATTTAATATTACAAATGATTTAAACTTTTTCATGATGAAGTAATCAACTATCATTTGTCCTAATGAACTATTACTTATTCCGGAAATGATTTAATTCAATAAATAGACACATCAAAATGTTGAACATACTGATTATTAATTTACAACTACTTCATTCATCTTTAAATGTAAATGTCTTTAGAAATTTTCAAACATAATAAATACTCATTACATGAATCTTAATGCGCGAACGAGTAACTTCTAAATTACTGAGCCAGCATCCAATGGTGTTAATGTCTAACTTCAAACAATCCACAAAATTGCGTGACCATCTTCGATTGCTTGAAGTAGATACCTGTCTCTACCTGACATGGATTAACTCCATTGGTCACGGCTTCTCACTAGAGATTCAGCGTTCGCACGCGAGATCGAATCTCGTGTAAGCGATCGTGGATGCGTACTGCTGAGGAGTCTCATACTGTGACGAAACGACCGTCCAGTGTTTCCAGGTTTTCAATGATGATGTAGCTTAGATCGGCTCATGAATTCAAGAATTAGATCAATAGTTTAAATTTGATAAACCAATTTTCATACTGTAAAATGTATTGGTTCACTATAGTATACTTAATAAGTATATGCTTCATCTTTGTTTGTAACTTAAAACTGTTTCGCAAAATCAAATTCTGTATTCATAAACATGATGAGAAGTATGATACATTAAGTTTTCACTAAGTATCTTACAAATAATACAAATACTACTTATTAGTGTCTGAGGTAGTTGCCTTACTTTTTAACACAATTAAACTCTATCAGTTATAAGTTGTATGAAAATTCAAATGAAATGTAAACATGAACACTATGTGTGTCTATAACCACCATTCGACAGGTTCATATGAATTGAACATTTAATGGAAAGTTAATATCAGAAGGGGTTTTGTGGATATTATAGCAATGTTAACAGTTAATTATCATGAGTCAGTTGAAGCTAAATCACCATAGAAAACCTCGAAACATTGGACGGCCGTTTCGAACCCAGGACCTATCGGTCTCACGCGCGAACGCTTAAACTCGAGACCACCGAGATGGCCGGCATCCAATGGTGTTAATGTTTTTCTTCAACTAATTCACAAAATCGAGCGACACGTCCACTACTGTCTTCAGTGAGTTACTATCTCACAACAGATTTGGTTGAACTCCGCTGATCACTGCTTCTCACTAGAACTGCTGAGAAGTCCCACAAATGGATCAAACGGCCATTCAGTGCTTCCAAGTTTTCCATGGTAGTCAAGAAAATTAATAATCAATATGCATTTTTTGTTATATCCTAAAGAGTAGAAATATTGTATTGCTGTTGTTTCGTGACTTAGTGTAAGTCACCTCTTCAGAGTAAATATTCACATTAAGTCACAAAATGTCAGAACACACAATTTTTCTACTTATTAGGATAGAACTAAAATAATTGTGGAGGTCGGTTACTATATTAAGTCCACGTAGCTTATTCTAGCTTCTGGACAGGCCAATTTATTCATTTTTCTTGATTCATATGTAAACCTTGTAGTTATTCTGTTGTCGACATTGATTGTTTTTATGTAAGCGTATCTGTGTACGTTTCTTATATTATTCATCACATCCCTGTAACTTAAATATCGATTAACTCTTGATTAAATTGAGTTGGCTCACATGATTTCTCCACTATGTGTCATTTTGCTTCGCTCTCTTTATTTCCTACGCTCTGTCTTTCTAATTATTTGTTCGAAATCTATTCTTGTATTTAACGTATTTAAGTCAATGATTATATACGAGGATTTGGCAACATGTATCTTTCAATAACAATCATTCATACGCTACAACTAGAGTTAGATATAAAATTACTAAAAACTATATTCATAACTACAATTATTTCATATATAATAAACAGTAATCCCTAAGTCAAGTTCATTTGGTGCTGTTTCCCTTGTATCTTCCCATTGTTATTTAGAACTGCAATTGTTCAGTATCTTATTGCTATATGTACATCCTGTGCGGATTACCTCGATATAGCTTTAAATAACAAGCTTTATAAATAAAGATGGATAGTGGCTAACATTGGAATTCAGAACGCACATTTTGTTTTATTTCGAACTCATCAACTGGATATATCTGCACTCCAGAGTTAATGTTCACTCTTGGACTGACTATAAATGTGATAATCAGTATATATTCATAAATACTTATGATGAAGTTTTGTTCTCTGAGTTGGATGGTTTGGTCGTGGAATTTTCATCGTTCTTCTGAACGACATCATCAGTACAAACTTCTATCTGAGGACGAAACTTCATCAAAATCATCCACCTGAGCTACAAATCTTCTATACCATCTCATAAATACTTCTACATAATTATATCTAAGTATCATTAATGACAAAAGAAATTATTCATTACTTACTGTAAATCCATCTTCAACATGTGTAACATCATTATTTAAAGATATTGTCGTTGGTGATGGGTTTCGTGGACATATTGTCATTTTATATGATGAGGAACATCCAATTTGTGTGAAAGCCATTATTATTTATTATTATTATTACTATTGGGGATATGTTTCTATGTTCACTTTTATTATGTTTATTCTATTTGTATACATTAAATGTTTATAGAAATGTTTTCTTTGAAATGATTTTCTTTCTTTTTTCTTTTTCTTGTTTTTTTCTTTCTTTCTCTCTCTCTTTTAAAATATCAGTAATAATGATACATTAATTTCAAAATATCCCAAATATAATCGATTCTATAATTGATAATTGAATAATTCAATCATGTTTTATACTACTGAAATACTATTAATAGTCAATAATCACAACTTCTCTTTGATTGTAATGAATTTCACTTTTCTGATGATGATGATAATAAAAAGTTTACTACTAATCCTGATGCTTGTTGGTGTAAGAAGTAACAATCGTTTATTGTTATCTCTATAACTTTCTATCTTTTCCCATTGTTGTGATTATTATTGTGTCTACCTGTTCACATGTGTGCGTGTGTGTATATATATGTGTGTGTGCATAGATGCATATATTAGCACTGTTCTGATTGTGTCTAAAATGAAAATTGTGCTATTATATGTATGTAATTTGTGTACATGAAATATATATGTATATGTATATGAGTGGATTTGATTTCGGTAAAGAAGGGAAATCACCTCTAAGAGATGTAAGCATCTAATAGAGGTCAATCATAGAAAAAGGGGAAGAAATTTTACAGACTAGGGGGAAATGTGGACATTGGGAAAGTTAGATAGAAAGAAAAAAAATGCACCAAAAGTTAGTTGGAACATTTAAATTGATAGAATATGTATATAAAGAATTGAAGTGCTGTGCTAATTGAATTCATCAAATTGATGGTATTCATTATTATTGGGCAAATAAGTAACGAAAAAAAAAACGAGGGGAACAAAATAACTACAAAATATAATTTTGGGAGAACTGACACATTGTTCTACTGGAAGATTCTGAGATAATCAGTAACAGTGTGCCTTATGTATAGTAGAAGAGCCTTATATATTAGACATCAACTTAACATTCTAGTCGAAATAATGAGAGCATAGTTATTCACTTACAAAGTCAGATTTTACACAATGCACAAACTTAAACGGTAATTGATAAATTAGCTAACTTGGAAGCACTGAACGGTCGTTTCGTCCTATTGTGGGACTCCTCAAAAGTGCGTATCTACGATCCCGCTGGCGAGGTTCAAACCCGAGCCTACAATAGGACGAAACGGTCGTCCAGTGCTTCCAAATTTTCAATGGTGGTCTAACATCAATCGGTTCATGATCTCAATCAAAAACTTAATAATCTCCATAACCCTATACTGATAAAAATTAGCTAACGCTTGATTCAATAATTGTTAACTTGCAAATAATAACACTAATACACGTAATACCTGCTCAATAGTTTAGAGATTAAGCATTTGCCGAGTGACCGAAGATCTTAGGTTCGATCCTCTTCGGGTTTTGTTCATGTGCACTATTGTGCAATCGCATAGTACGATAAAACAGTTTTGTACTGATTCCTAGTTTTCATTGGCTATTTGACTAGGATCAATCTGTGATATACATACTATGAAAATAATGTAAACATAAATACTATTAAGATTCCTTTGAATGTATGTTGATAACGTGCTGGAACTTCACAAGTATTGGTCTTATTTTAGCATTAATTGTCATAAATTAATATAAGAAACTTAAACTTTCCAATTGTTTGTTTCAATAGTTTGTTCAGAACAGGATTAGTTTAGATTTCACTTATCAAAAGAAATAATATTATCATTTGAGGGATTACTTGAAGCACAAGGGGAACTGAAGAGCAATCCTCCCCAATGTATTTACCAATGATAATCTATTAGTAATTAATTTCGAAATATATCTTCCAAGAGTTCTGGTATAAAGAATTACTGAATTCTAGTAATGAGGCGATTTCAGGACTAATAACATTAGATAATATTACGCTAAAATGTGAACCAATAAAAGTTCAAAATATGAACCATTGGATTTTAACTTGGCGATTGAAAACCAACATTTAATGATCATGAATTCAGTCCCACATGAAGTTATCAGTGTTCAGCATTAAGGATTCTCAAACAAAGACATAATGGTTGCTCAGTATTATCTGTATTTTAAACGTTTTCCAGTTGTCATCAGCCTGTGGCAAAGATCTGATTATGATTGGCATGCATTAACATTAAATGCATAATACAGAGGTAACCTTGAGCAACTCTTAAAATAACTGTGTAATTTTAAATTCACTTTTCAACCGACGGGTAAAGAGTTTGTATAAATCAAAAGTATTTCTCAACCGGAGTAGTGAAATTTGTTGAAGCTTCGTGGTTTTAGGAAATCCATTGGTTTTTTTAAGGCTTATTATGAGTCATACAATTGAAAGATATCCCTACCCTTCATCACAAATCTAGATGTGGATTTACTCACTCTAAAGACTTTCTGAATGTATTTTATAGCTTTAAATTGTTTAATAAGATAATCCTTTGAATGTTAGGTGTATCACCATTGAAATGCAGGAAGCATCGGACGGTCGTTGCTTACCAGTTTGGGACTGGTCAGCAGTGCTTATCCACCATCCTGAATGAATAATTGAATAAGCATTGCTGTCGAGTCTTGCACCATGAGAAAACGACCGACCGATGCTCTCAGCTATTTAATGGTAGTCCAGCTTATGTCGACTCGTGGATTTAACTGTGGAAATACTACAATCTCTACAAATCTCCTTACTGATATTGATCATATGCTTACTAATGACTAGCTTCAAGATGGATTTCCTGAAATTCTAATGAGAATCCGTGACCAGTGGAGTCCGATTTGTGTCAGATGTGAGATAGTAATCCACCTCGAACAATGGATGAAGGGTTGTGCGAGATCGTGGATCGATTGACGTTAAACATTTACACCATTCGATATTGAAATGTTGAGATAGGATGATAGTGTACTCATTTTGACTACTTCCAACCACCATCTTAAACTTTTAGTTTCATTGACTTGGTGTTGTTTACTTTTATCTTCCCATTGATGTTAAAAACTGTAATTGATCAGTCTCTGATTGGCACATGTGCACACCGTGCGGATTGCCTCAATATTGCCTGAAGTCACAAGCTTTATAAGAAAAGTTGGGTGGTGGCTAACAGTGGAATCCAGGACGCGCGTTTCTCACTATTTGGGACTCATCAGCTGGATATACCTGCATCCGAGTTGATGTTCACTCTAAGACTCGAACCCACTACCGTTTGCTTCATGTTATCCACTTAGCCACCGAGTTCTGATAATCACAGTGGTAAGATACAAGCAATCAATAATAAATGAATTATAAAGATTGTTGAGTTTTTTTATTTTTGTCATGAATCAACATTAGTTAGATAATCATTAAAAACAGAAGGAAAACACTATAACTACAATAGTGTACATTAACAAATCCATCAAAGAACGAACCAGAACCACTAAGATTCATGAGGATCGCTTAATCTTTACATCATTCAGTTAAGGTAAAAAAGTTCACATTTCTAACTTCCTTCAGTCATGTTGTCACCAACAACTAACTTCAGGCGGTAATTCTCGGAATTCTACTAAGAAACTATGACTGCTAGAATTCGTCCAACTTGGATTTAGACAGTTACCCACCAATGGCAAATTGACTTAAATTTGACTTGTAAACTATTAAAACCCAACTCAATTGTGTGAAATTGAAGCGATCACTTCAAATCCTGAAGGTCATATCTTTATCCATGATAAATTTGGACTGAGCACTAAGACGAGACATTTATTCAGTACTTTTAATAGTTATCCAGTTTCACTCAGCCCCTGATGTAAACCAAAAAATTCAATTCTTGTCCATATGCACTCTATACTCAGCTTATTACTATTCCATCCATTTTTAAATCTTCTACAATTATTACATAATTCAATTTATTATTCTTCATATTCTAGGTAATTACTAACTCACTCTAGTTATGGTTTCTGAAGTTCTTCTCAAATACCACTACACATTTCAATTTTCAACCACCATTATTCATTACCTAATCAAATATTGTATTAGAGAGATCCAAAGTATCCTTCGAAAAAGTTCAGAAGGACCCTGAAACTGGGAAACATTTTAACCAATCGGCGCTGAATAGAAGTCTCTCAGAAACATCTAGAAAGTGAAGAGTCACGTGTCATATTACAAATTGGATAATTACCTATCCAGCCATTATGTTTAGTATGATTCCAAAACAAAATACTTCAGATCCGCTGGCAGGACACTATAAGCAACAACCTACTGTGGGAGAGAACAAATCAGATCCCAGTGGAGGAAGAAATCAGGAAGAAGCGCTGGAAGTGGATAGGACACACATTGAGGAAAGCACCGAACTGCGTCACAAGACAAGCCCTCACATGGAATCCTCAAGGTCGAAGGAGGAGAGGAAGACCAAAGAATACATTACGCCGGGAAATGGAGATAGATATGAGAAAAATGAACAAGAATTGGATGGAACTAGAAGAGAAGGCCCAGGACAGAGTGGGTTGGAGAATGCTGGTCGGCGGCCTATGCTCCATTAGGAGTAACAGGCGTAAGTAAGTATGATTCCAAAAGCTTCTAGAAGCCGAATGCAAGCTGAAAAACTATATTTACCCCCCAATTTTTGTACATAAATCGTTCTATTAATACTTTGTGCCATTTCTCTCTTGTTCATTCTGTCGTGTAGATATAGCCTGCGATAATTTGAAGGGCATAAGAAGCCGATTCAAGTAACGTCTTAGAATATTTGAAATGAAATGAATTCATGATGTTCTGTATCAATTATCCTATTTGGAACTTGTCGGCTGGATGCATCTGTATCCCAGAGTTAGTGTTCACTTCATAACTCGAACACAGTACTATTCGCTTTAAACTCCATCACGTTATCCACTTAGCTACTGAGTCATTTAAAGCGAACTGTACTGGATTCGAGTCTCGGAGTGAACATCAACTATGGGATTCAGATACATCCATCTGACAAGTCCCAAATAAGACGGCATGTATGTCCTAGATTCCACTGTTAGCCACTATCCATCTTTGATTAAACAGCTTGTGACTTAAGGTAATATCGAGGTAATCCGTACAGAACTCACAGATACCAATCAGAGACTGATCACTTGTAGTCCTAAACAACAATGGGAGGATACATGCAACCAATACCAAATGAATATAAACCAGTCAGTTTTGATAAACTTATATGTGACTAGATGTCTTTGTCTCAAATAAAATTAACGTTCTGTTCTAACTAGTTGTTTTATTATCAAACATTTATATATTAGGGATATTAGGTTAATGATTCGAGTTTTCATGAGTTACTTTTATCTGGTCAACTTATATATTAACATTTAAGCTTATCAATTCTATATTCAAATAGTTTATACAAGTTTCCGATTGTTGTAACGTTATTCTTTGCTGTTTTCTTAATTGGTCAAT